CAGAGATTCACACAGTTACCACCGAGGATGGATATATCCTGGAGTTGCATAGAATCCCATATGGGAAGAATGGTCAGTTATCATCCTATTCTTCTGTCCGCATTGCTTCAGTATTCTGTACAGGGTACGTCCTGCCGCTGGGAAAGTTTTTTGGAAGAGACCACCCCAATTTTCTCCTCTGCTACGTTCTCCCCTCCCCCCCAATCATAGAACTTCTTCCAGCTTCTTACCGCCTTTTTCTGGAATCTCTCGAAAATTTCCCAGTTTCCCTACAAAAACTTTGCATGAATGGCAGGGGGAGGAGGAGTTCGTCATCAACTAACTACTAGTTCCGATTATCGAAAATGGTAGTTGTACGGTAGTCACGAAGCGGCAGAAATTAGGAGGATGACGCTTCTCATGAGCTAATGCGACAAAACCCGACCCTCCCTCCCCTAAAAGCGACAGGGAAACACGACCCCCCCCCACACTAGAACTTTCCCAACGCAGTGAATAGCGCCCGTGTGACTGAACAAAACAATTACCAAAGAAAATTTTCTGGGATCAAATACGACCTGCCCTCCGTCCAGCGACCAGTTACCACCCACCCCTCTGCCGATTCTAGGATAGACCTAGAACGTGCCCTGATTCTGTAGACGGACAGCGTTTGGAACCGCTAATGCGGTGTGAAAGTGTATTGAAGGAGACGGAAGACGAGAGAGAATGGTGTGATTGAGGGTGGCCACTCTTGGAGCCTGAACAAGGCTCAACATTTTCTGCTGCCCGCTCTTTATGGGCAGAGTTGCCGAACAAAGAATTGAGAAGCACCCTGTTGTAACTGCCTATAAATTGCGTAAGAACTTCAGATGCTAAGCCAACGACACCCAGGCCAGTGGTCTTCATGCAGCATGGACTGGAGTGCAGTAGTAGCAACTGGATCACTAACTTGCCGGACGAGAGCGCAGGTACTTATCATTAGGAAGAAAGTCGCCGCGTGCTTGCACCTACATTGGGCGAATGACGACTAATTCTTCACAGCTTCACACCTTTTGGCTCCTTTGCTCTGAGTTCTCATCCTATCCATTAACCTTCTTTCTTCTTTTCAGGTTGATTTCTTGATGAAATCTTTAAGTCCGTAGTATTCCCACAGATCTTTCTATAGCATCTCTGCTCTTTATCTTCCATTTGAGTAGAACTCCCACCATTTCTCTCTTTGTACCTGTTTTCACCCACTCTAGCCTACTTACAAGAAGTCGCCGCCAACTCGTTACTCAAGAGCTTCCCCGGACTCGGTTTGATACGAGTAGGCAATTATAAGTGGAATCTGGTCAGAGAGATAAATAGAGAACTCAAAACCGCTGCCCGTTTATCCTAACAACAAATCTTGCAGGCTTCTTGTTCGCAGATGCGGGATTCGATGTTTGGCTAGGCAATATGCGAGGAAACACCTACAGTACCAAGCATGTCAGCCTGAGCCCCAAACACGACAAGTTCTGGGAGTGGACGTGAGTGAAATGGTTTTCACTGAAAGGATATTTCGATCACTGATCTCCACCTTTCTAGTGAAGGGTAGGGGACATAGTAAGCCATACGTTTACATGGCTAAAAGGCCAGAAGCACCTGGATGAATGTACCTGGAAAGAGAGCTTAACGAGAATTGGTATTGGTGATGTGCGTCAAAATGAAAAAATGTGAAAATCCTTCGAAACAATGGAGATCTCCCCTGCTTAATCCTAGGAAAACGTGCTATTTGGGCATTCGTCTACACCAAAAGTAAAGATTTAGGTGGAGTCGTAGGGATTGAGGAAAAGGATGGCCAATTCTGCTCATTACTGGTTACGGAGACTTTTCAGGGTATAAATATAGAGACTTCAGCATCAGCTGTATTCGTTGAAGGTCGGCGTCCGGTAATCCGAATAAGGGGCACGAAATGACTGGGGTAGCCCTCCAAAAACGATTGAGATTAGGCGCTAGGAAGTCCATTTACATATTTTTGACCTTCGCTTTTTGATAACTCAGATTTTCAACAACCTTTCGGAGTCATAGGCTAAAAGATTCGAAAGGAATGAAATAAATATTAATGTGTCAGTTTAGATGGGACGAGATGGCAAAGTACGATTTAGAATCGATGATCGACTTGGCGCTGAACACTACCGGACAGCAGTACCTCTACTATATGGGTCATTCACAGGGCACACTGACAATGTTTTCAAAGCTCTCCACGGATCCGGCTTTCTCTAGCAAGGTTACTCAACCATATTATCATACAACAAGCACTTTTGCTTCAGTTAACAGCTAGATTCCTTGAGATTTCAGAGGCTGTCCCTGGGCTAAAGTAATCCGTAGGCGGCTTCCTTGTACAAGTAGTCTGGTCCTCAGTTTCCGAGAATATGCCACTCTCGCGACTTCACAGTAAATAACGAGGGCGCTGTGGCCCTCATAAAAGGCAGTTCTGACACTTCTATAGTTGTCTCGTCCATCGAAACTCAAAAGCTATTTTCTGTCACGAGTTCAGTTTACATCGCTTTTCTTGTTTTTTTTTCTCCCGCTGTCAGATGGTATTAGCATTACATGACGCGAAGAAACGATTATTGAGCCAAAGGCCGCAGGATATCGCTTTACCGGCATAAAGCAAGCAGGTCCGGAGAACTCATCCGAAGGGGTTACCAAGTCTCTACTTAGGGTGTTCTCCATGACTTTTTCTTACTTTTTGTCTCCTGACGACTCCTGCAGGGGCAGAGAACCATTGTTCCTTCCTCACTGCAAAGGGAGAGGGGCACCAACACAAGGTTCGCAGTCCGCGCCCATAGGTTCAGCGTGCAGTGTACCTTTGAACTAAACTTCTAAGCAGCCCTCATACTAACAATCAAACAGCCTGTGGAATTTATTCAGATTTAAATGTATTCACAACAAACAGTAATCATAAAACAAGCCTTTGTTACCAACAACGACACACCTCAAGATGGGATTCTTCCTAAACTTTTTTCTAAAGTTCAATTATTCGTGCCAGATGATTAGCTGGACGAGAAAAGTAGCTGGCACTCATTGGCCTCACGACACTTCCTTTATCCGGAACTTCAAACTTCGACTAGATCTTTACAAGAATTTATTCTCAAGAAAAGAACTGGCGCAAAAGTTACTTTCAGGGCAGTTAGATACCCCGGCGTATGTATGAGCCCTCACTTAGACTCATCTGGCTGGAGCACCATGGTGGCTGAGGAGATGACTGTAACGTGAACTCAAAACGTTCTCAAACGAAACTGATGGTATATTCCTGCTCAGCGACCAGGTGCAAAGGGACCAGTTCCTTCTAGCCTACGTTGAAGCATCTTTAGCCGAATCTTTGGCGTACCGTGTTGTGAGAGGTAATAAAAGAGGGCCTATTCTCCTATGCTGAAACCTAGGAACACCAGGGAGAGAGGGTTCGTCGGAGGGATTTCATAATAAGCCCTTCCTTTTCGCGGATTCCAGTATGTCCGTTCGTTCGTAACCTTTCCAAGACTTTCAGTCACATTTTCACCAGTGACATAGTAAATAAGCACTACCGTTAAGTTCCACGTCCTTAACTTCTCCCCTTGCAGATTCGGAACAGTTTTTGCCTGGCACGCAGTCTGGGTTCTGTTGCTCCACTCAAGGAATGTATTCTTGGCAAACGACTTTCAGCCTGGAGCTAGACGTAAGTTTGGTACACACTACCCTAAAAGTCCCACTAGATACAGGCGGGCGTCCCATACATAAGAGCGGTTTTGTGCTAGAAAATGAAAATTGACGTTTGTATACGTTTTTTTTGGCGTTGTGTGCTCATGATTATCGCAATAATAGCCTACAACAGAAATTAAGAAATAAGAAAAAGAAATACAGAAATTCCGTTAAAATCGCTATTTTTCTATATGAATTGTTTATTAAGTGGGCGGGGTTTAGAGTTGAGGGGCGGAGCTTCTTCTAAACTTCTTCTCCGATTTTTATTTATCCATCCATCAAGTTAGAGGGGTGACTGCATTCAATTTCAATTTCATTCCAATTCATTTTTCACCGGTAAATTAAACCGCTCTTATCTATGGGATTTTAGGGTAGCATTATGTGTGTGTGTGTGTGACTTGATCTTTTACTCGACGGTGACAAGCTCTTGCCTTATCAAAGCGGATGATAAGTCGATGGCATACTGGTTTGAATTGCTTCTGTCGGTGATTTACGCCTTATACGACAATCTTCATTGAGGTTTTTATGTCACGAGAGAGGGTGAGGCCGCATCAGTTCGAAACAGAAAATGAAGTAGCATATTTCCTTGGAATTAGTTGATGATACAATATACATTGTGTAACTTGGCGCCGGAAACAGTCCTGAGAGACTTTACCTTTTCAGGCCTATTTCGACATATTTGGAGCTGGGAAGTTCTTGCCCAACAACTGGATAATGAAAGTCATTGCGGACTCGGTGTGTGGAGGGCTAAAAGTAATACAGGCTGATGTATGCGACAACATCCTCTTCCTCATCGCTGGTCCTGAAAGCAATCAAATGAACGCGGTTAGCTTGCCATGTTTAAGTATCTAGAAAATCGTGAACAACTCATCTATTACAACCCCTAACATAGAAAATTTGTTCTTCCTGGAACTTGTTCTTGGGTCGAAGTTATTCTATAGATTCGATCTCAAGCTCACAGATTGATGCTGACGCCAGTTTCGTGCGTCACCACCTACCCATCGGTCAGCAATCTTGCAAACCAGGGGGTGGGGCTCCAGGGGGTGTGGTGTTCCGCACCCAGAGCGGCCTTTTCCAAATAGTTGCGCGAACCTCACCCGAAGCGCAACCAGTTGAGGTTGCCGTTCTGTATGCGCTCCAATCCGACCGCTCACTGAGTCCTTCAGTAGCCTTCGAGTATACAACTATGCAATAGGTTGCAATCGACGGTGCAGCGTCACTATGAAGAATGTGATTAATGAAAAAAGTGAAGCGAACGGTCAGAGGGTATCATTACCATACAAGACAACATAGGGCACTGACGTAACCCTTATAGAAAATCGCTGTGCCGGATATATTTGGAATTTGATAATTATGAGTTCGTAACCCGAGATCAGCATAGAATATGTTCCACTCTTCACTAGTAATTATTTGAGCCAACGTATCTAGCCGTTACGCGCATTATGAATTTGTGATCGCTCTCCGCTTCTAAGACCTCTGTGGTATCACCTACCGCTACATCATTTATGCAGTTTGGCGCTCCATCACTGTGTTCTGACGAACGTTATTGGACTTTCTCGGTCCACACGCACACACACACACACACACATGTGCAGGCACGCTGCCGACGATCCGCGGCCGTGCGGCTTGTAGTCTGGCTGCACACACACACACACACACACACACACACACACACACACACACACACACACACACACACACACACACACACACACACACACACACACACACACACACCAACAGACAAACTTAGCGGATTATATATAGTAGGATATCAGTTGCGCTCTTTCACTATTGGCATAAACTGGCGCAGTTTGTCGACGGGGGGGGGGCATTCGGCTTTTCATAGATGTGCCGACCCATCTAGGTAGCCTTTTCTCGAGTTGACACGTTTTAGGATGGTGGCTAGACGATCTTACTCCAAGCTTCAGCAATGGCGTTCACAGTTTTACCAGCTTCGTAAACGGGACGGGAGCAATGTTAGTTAAAAATGCCCCCGTCTAATTTCAGCGGCCAATAACCTTACCCTGGTTGCCCTTCTTCTACACTATTGGAATGAACTTTTATCTGGCAGTCATCCTCTCGCGCTTATTTGCATTCTCTACAATCATTCTCTACAAGTGAGCACGAGCAAAAATGGACAGAAAATCTTTTATTTCAGACATAATTGAGCCAGTTATTGCAGTGGTTCAGTGATTCGCAGTGACCGTTTTGAGCTCGTCATTAATACGATCAAATCGCACACGAGAACTGATCGCAAAGTATGAACGTAATCTCACGCAGAATAGCATTGTATTAGGTTGGCGGGAAAGTTCTGTCACATTTTTCAAATTAGGCTTTCTTTTTATAGAGAGGCGTGTAAGATCAAAATTGTACAGCAATGTTACTGCGGGGTTCTTGCCAGTTTTTGAGCACCTCATGGATGCCATCGCTTCACAATGCAGGCCGGCGCGACGCAAAGTTGGACATCATCTCAATTTTGACTTGGGCTCGGGTCGTGGAGGTTTTCTCGTCCATATAACGGTTGAGTACGGGAGGCAACTCGCAGTTAGAAGGAGCAATGTCTGTGCTACACCAGTGCAAGGGGAGAGCCATCCAGCTCTATTGCATGAGGTACGGCTTGAACTTTTTTGGACGGAGTAGGCTGCACTGTCACGTTGAAGACGGACTGTGCGGACGAATTTTTCCCTCTGGTCGATGGTTCGCTTCAGATCTCGTAGCTGCTCTGCGTCTCCGGATCAACCG